TAGAAAACACGGGTGTGCGGCTCCCTTCTGCCAGGTCCCAGGGAAGCAGGGGGATGCCTTACAGGGCTGTCTGTCTAAGACCTGAGCCTGCAGTGTCCCTCCGCCAGCTTCCGTTGCATTTAGTTGAAGGCTCTGCCCTGCTTTGGGCCACAGGTAGCGTGAGGGTATTGTGGGAATGAGAAAAGGTACTGCACAAGCTGGCAGGGCTGTCACATCTCACAGGGACTGTCTGTCCCCTGCAGCTGCGTGGGGTGGACACGGTCACCAGAGGTGAGCAGTGGGCTTTGCAACCACCTCAATCAGACCCCGAGCTCCATCATGAATTAGCATCACTTTCCTCATTGGATATTACTATTCTTATGGGGATAACAATAGTACTTTACCTCCTAGAGTGTTGGGCTCCATCAAGATTAGCTATTGTTGCCCGGCCAGCGTGGCTCAGTGGTTGAGTGTCGAGCTATGGACCAGGACGTCACAGTGTGATTCCCAGTCAGGGCACATGCCTGGATTGCGGGCTCGATCCCCAGTGTGATTCTCTTGATATTTCTATCCCTCTCTCCCTCTCCCTTTCTCTCTGAAATCAATTATATATAAAATCAAAAATTTTTTAAAAAAGATTGCTATGGTTACCCAACAACAGTCTTCAGTCCAAATTGAGTCCAGAGCCCCCTTTTCTCTTTCCAGGCGAACACAACTCCGTGTTTGTAGATTTCTCTCGGGGAAGGTGGAGCCCTGAGTGAGCACACACTGATGAAACATACCTCCTCTCTCCCGCTGCATGCATCAGGGTCCTGCCACGTAGCTGCCCTCTGAGGACTCCTGTGTGGTCTCCCTTCTCATTTTTCATCCCTGTGCTTCTCCGCCTTCCTGCCCTGCTTGTCCTCGAGGTGCAGAGGGGCTGCGGAGCTCAAGCCCTCAGTGTGCCCTCCTGCAGCTGCTGCCTGCAGTCCTGAGCTGCTGGTGCCACACTGTACGTTCTTCAAAAATTTACTGCAGCCCATTGTGCTTTCTTGAAAATGCTGACATAATGTTTCTCTGGCAGAATCTGTAACATTCGAATCCTGGCAATGCTTAGATTAATGCTGACACTTTTGTTGACCCTCAAAATACAGATAAGCTGAAGTGGTTCAGCTAATGTCAGCATTCAGGGGCCTAAACTTTCCAAATTGACTGCAGCCACTCTAGAGCATCCTTACTGCTAGGAAAAGTGCCATATCTTCTGGCAAACAGGGGTGTTTTTCTTCTTCAGATAAGAGGTATATAAAAATTAAGCTACTTTTTTCTTTCTTTTTTTTTTTTTTTAACCTTGGCTGCTCGGAGCTCTGAGACAAATTGTATGTTCCAGTGTAAGAATTATATTTCACTGTTGTTTCCTGTTCTATTCATCTCCTCTCCTGGATATTTAATTCTTGTTGTAATTATCCTAAAACATAGGTCTTTTTATTGTAAGCCGACTCTAATCCCCTTAGAAGCATTAAGTAGAAAATGATGCATGAATTATTAGGAGTGGCTGCTCGGAGCTCTGAGACAAATTGTATGTTCCAGTGTAAGAATTATATTTCACTGTTGTTTCCTGTTCTATTCATCTCCTCTCCTGGATATTTAATTCTTGTTGTAATTATCCTAAAACATAGGTCTTTTTATTGTAAGCCGACTCTAATCCCCTTAGAAGCATTAAGTAGAAAATGATGCATGAATTATTAGGAGTGTCATCGCCCCCATGAAAATACATAGTCACTGTTGATTGTTCTGTCTTTCTGAGTATAACACCTTTCTTTTCTTTTCTTTTTTAAAAATATATTTTTATTTATTTCAGAGAAGAAGGGAGAAGGAGAGAGATAGAAACATCAATGATGAGAGAGAATCATCGGTGGGCTGCCTCCTGCTCACCCCATACTGGGGATGGAGCCCGCAACCCGGGCATGTGCTCTGACTGGGAATCAAACTGAGACCTCTTGGCTCATAGGTCAATGCTCAACCACTGAGCCACACCGGCCAGGCCTGAATAGAACACCTTTCAAAGCCAGGATTCCTAAAGCCTGTTCTATAAGACACTGGTAGTTCCCATTCTATTAATGGTTTAATAATTTCGAAGGCATGGGGTATTTCAGTTGGGATGTGCTTGGTTGCAGGTGACTGAAAAGCCCACCTACTGCACAGGCTTGAACATTAAAGGAGACTCTCTGGGTTTTGTGACCCAAGTGTCTCATGAACTCCGGGGGTAATGTGACCGAGGTGCTGCCTCTGGTTCTATTTCTTAGTCTCTCCTCGCTCGGCCCTCCTCTGTGTTGTATTTTTCTTGAGGCTGCTCCCCTCAGCAGGGGCGGGGACTGCCAGCTGCCTCTGATGAGCCTATCCCTGACCTAGATGCCACAGCAAGGGGACTGGGAGTACTCGGAATGCCGGTGCCTGCGACCCCACCCAACGTCCTCAGAGGCAGCACAGGAGGGTGGGAGGTGGAGTGGAAGATGGAGGGAGGTTTAGTGCTCCATCTGACAAATGAAAAGGGAACAAGGGAAGGACTTTGACCTACCATGAGCAGAGCTACTGTAAAACTGGGGATGTGCATTTATGTGGGATGGACAATGCCAGATTGTGTCTTGTTGGGCCTGGTCATTTCTATCAAAACACTCTTTTGTTGGCCTCCAGAAGAATTTGCTTTGGGTTATCTCCAGAATGGGCAGGTGGGAAGCTTACTACAACAATATTTCTTTTTTAAAATTTTTTTAAAAATTGATTTTAGAGAGAAAGGGAGAGGGAGATAAACATTGAAGATGAGAGAGAGTCATTGGTCAGTTGCTTCCTGCACGCCCCCTACTGGGGATTGAGCCCACAACCTGGGCATGTGCCCTTGACCGGAATAGAACCCGGAACCCTTCAGTCCACAGGCTGACACTCTATCCACTGAGCCAAGCCAGCTAGGGCCCTACAACAATATTCCTTAATGTAACATGTCTCTACTGCAAGTTTGTAGTTGCGTGTGTTTTTTTAAACATATTTTTATTGATTTCAGAGAGGAAGGGAGAGTAAGAGAGAGAGAGAAAAAAATATCAATGATGAGAGAATCATCAATCAGCTTCCTTCTGCTCACCCTACCCTGGTGATCGAGTCCAAAACCTGGGCATGTGTCCTGACTGGGAATTGAACTGTGACCTCCTGGTTCATAGGTCGATGCTCAACCACTCTGCCATACAGGCCAGGAGCATGTTTATAGTTTTATAGGGTCCATCAATCAATCAATAGCTGGTTTGAGATTTGAGTTTAGTGCATCAGAGGGGAGGTTGGTTCCACATGCCCAGGGAGCAGACTGGTGCTTGATTCAGTGTACCCACTAATTGCTTTCCTCCAGAAAGAGCCTAAGGGTCTAAATACACTCCTGCAGAGAATGCTCATAAGGGGTTCTGGACACCTTTTCCTCTTAATCAGCCAAGAAATAGTCTAATTCTTTTAAGAAAATATGCTTTTATTCTATTTTTATATTTTCCTCTATCTGGCTGACACTTATGTCTGAAGTAAGCAATTATTAGAAGGCTGTCAGAATTTATGGAAAAGAAGAAACCCCGTGAGTGCATGCGCACACACCCGGACACACAGATGACTTTCCTTACCTCAGCAGCTTTTCCCTGCTGGACTGGAGGTGGGACAATGGCCTCTGTCAATGCCTTTTCCCGAGGAGCACTGTGGCCTTGCGTTCCCCTGCAGAGCTATGGGCTTGGCCGTATGCCACGGCACAGACAGCATAGGGTTCGCAAGTAACATGACCCAGGTGGAAGAATGGGCATCTTGACTGGTAAGGATGGGCCATGCTCCAGGAGATAACCTTGCCATTTCTGAACCCAGATTCAGATGTCGTAAGAGACAGTCTGCTGCCGGGTGAGGCCAGGGCCCCTGCATCTCACTAGGGTTTAGAGCACAGTATGAACTTTATCGGCAGCTGTTCAGTAAAGGAGGGTATTCATGCATATGGATGCGGTGACAACTGTTTATGTTTCTGTGGCTTTGTCCTCAGCGAGGAGAACCAGACCAAGGAGGCCTGAGGCACGCTAGCACAGGTGCTCCAGGTGTGATCATTTCGTAATTACTGTCCACTGCTTAACACCTCTCCCCACCTGTCTTCACTTCCACCTGAAAAGGCAGGAACAAGGACATCAAAGGCCATTTGTTGAATCCTGTATGTTTTTTTTAATATGTATATTTTTATTGATTTCAGAGGGAAGGAAGAGGGAGAGAGAAACATCAATGATGAGAGAGAATCATGGATCCGCTGCCTTCTGCACGCCCCACACTGGGGATCGAACCTGCAACCCAGGCATGTGCCCTGACCGGGAATCGAACCATGACCTCCTGGTTCATAGGTCGGCGCTCAACCACTGAGCCATGCCAGCTGGGCAAATCCTGTATGTTTTTGGTGATGGCACAAGACAACTGAGTGACCGAGGACTGTTTCTTGCCCCGAGAAACACTGCTGCATGCCCATGCCAATAAATGCAAGCCCCTCCCCCGCCCCAAATGGAGCCAGTTGGTGGCAGTGTGTGCTTGTGCTTCTGTGAACTTAGCCACAGGGCTGCCAAGGACGACAAGGGGAGGACTGGGAAGGGCAGGTGGGGGCTGGGGAACCAGACCAATGAGGGGCTCTCCCTCAAAGGGAGTGGTCAACCATTCAAACTACAAGGTTCGCAGTGGTTCTCAACCTTCTGGCCCTTTAAATACAGTTCTTCATGTTGTGACCCAACCATAAAATTATTTTCGTTGCTACTTCATAACTGTAATGTTGCTACTGTTATGAATCGTAATGTAAATATCTGATATGCAGGATGGTCTTAGGCGACCCCTGTGAAAGGGTCGTTCAACCGCCAAAGGGGTCGCGACCCACAGGTTGAGAACCGCTGGTTCAAAGGGTGGTGGGTTGATTGGTTCCAAGGCTCTGGATTGATCTGGCTAGGACATGAACGGACTTGAGGTTGAAGCGGTGGTTCTTGGACCCCAGCGTGTTGATCAGGGCCCTGAGGCAGAAGCCCATCCTGTGAATGCTGTGAACACTGGGATTTCTAGAAAGACCCGCCAGTAAGGAGATCTGCCTGGGAGAGCAATTTCAAATTTACCACGGCCTGGTCTTTAGCAAAAGCCGGGAAGATTACTCAAAGGCTGTGGGCTCCATCCACAGCTCAGCTGCCGGATGGAACTGGCTGGGCCCAGCATCCTGCAGAGTTGCTTTCACCTCACTGCAGTGTCGAGGTCAGGCCACCAGCTGAGGTTGATAAGGACATTCACTATGTGACACGGTCTTTGCTTCCCAGGCACCCTCAGGAGAAATGTGACCCACTTGAACAGGAAATTGGCACTTCTCATCATAAGACTTCTTTTCATCTTAAAGACACTGTGAACCTGGTAATTGTCTTCTCTCAGTGTTGCAAGTTTCTTAAAGCCAGCTGTCAGCAGTGAACCTGTGTATAGGTTTTATAGTATGCATTTTTATATTTATGAACCCCTCGCTCCATTTTACACCTCTATCCTTGTCTCATTCTTTCTTTTTTCACCTCCTTTTTGTTTGTTACCTTGATGCATTCGATGTATCCTTTACGTTGCCCCCCAGTGATATGCTAGAAACTTTGTTAAATATTCAGGAATTTTGTGTGTCCCTTGCTAGACAGTTGATAGTTTGAGACCAGCCACAGTGGGAGTATTTACACTATGGATATAGGCAGACACTACAAAATAAGTCTTTTAAAAAAATTTTTTTTCCTTCCAAAGAGCTAGTTTACCAGCAAACCACTGTTTAATCCTTTCTGGAAAAGGTAGAGTCTTAATCAATATGTAAGAGTATTATGAAATTATCTACCTTATTTAAGTGATATATAATTATAAATCTTAAGAGCAGTGGCACTGTTTTGGGTTGAAACATGTTTCAAGAGTAAATAAATTTATGAGGTTGGGTTTCATAGCTGGCAAGGGAAGAACAGGATTCATTCTAGAAGGTGCCTTCTAGGCAGCCTGGCTGTCGGCAGCTGTTCAGTAAAGGAGGGTATTCATGCATATGGATGCGGTGACAACTGTTTACGTTTCTGTTGATCACACTTTCAGTTGTGCTCGGCTAGAGCTAAGATTTGGTAAATCTAGCAGTAATAGAAGCAGGTTGATATCCCATTCAACGTGGGATGGTTGCTAAGGGAGCAGTCAATGCAAATTAGAAGTAATAATAGCTCTGGTTTAAAAGGGCAAAGAATTAGGACTGGGAAGGGGAAATGACTCCCTGCAGAGGACAGGGGTTTTGCAGGGACAAATGTGATGCTTGCTCTTCCTTCTGCTTCTGCCCTGGACAGAGAGCCGAGAAGGAGTGGACGGAGCAGAGGACAGGGGAGCTGCAGTCACTGCAGGCAGGGCCTGGCCGCTCCAGCCTCCGCTGGCCGTAGAATAGGTTCAGATAGACACGAATGCATGTTTGTGACCCAGAGTTGGCAGCCTTGCAATCATAAACATTGGCAACAACAGGAAAGAGAAGAGAAGAAAAAATCTCTGACAGTAAAACAGCAATTCCTAGGCCACAGACAGTGATGCGGAAGATGGCTGGAAAGTGCCCCGAACCTGAAGATCCCAAGGCATTGCAATGGGATGGCTCATCGACCACGGAAGAGCTCATGGTTATTGCATCTACTGCCTAAAAATAAAGTGCTAATAAGCCATTTAATTCTCACGACAGACCCAGAAACAGAAGCACGGATGGATGACGTCGCTGCCCAAGGTGCTCCGTGAAGGAGAGAAGGAGCCAGGATTTGTGGCTCTGCTCTCAACTGCTCAGGTCAGACAGAGGAAGGACTTGTGTGGATGGCGATGGTGTTAAATGCAGTCATCAGGCCCAGGGAACAGGTAAGTGAAGAGTCAAGATGTAAGTAGCGTGAGAACAGTAAAAGAGAGGCCAATGGCAGATTGAGGGGTGGGGACAGGACAGGGCCCAGTTCAGGAGACATACAGCCTTGAACCAGAGGGAGACAAAACCCACCTAGAAAACCTAAACAATCTGCTATCTACTGGCCAAATAGCACCATATATTCAGGCCGTTGCTGAGCCTCCACATGGTTAACGGCAGCTGCGCGTGTGGATTTGAGGGGCTGGGGGATTAGTGAAAAGGCTGGCCAGGGCTGGCCCTCATCTTCCTGTTAGTAGTTCTGTGTTCAGAGAGAGCCCATGCCGGGTTAGGGCAGTTTCTTTAGGGGACCATGCTGAGCTGTATGTTGGGAGTAGCGACCTGTAATCCAAGGGGTGGATTATCCTATAGGGCAGCTGGCTGGGACAGTCGGGAGCAAATCCCTAAGAGCACTGAGCTGAATCTTAAAGGAGAAAAGGGGAATGTCTGTGCCACTAGAACAGGATGAGTGCTGGAAACTTGGTTGGCTGAGCACAGCCTTGGTCCTTCCTTGTGAACTCCATCTACTTACTCCTGCAGATGGCAACTAATGATCACAGAGCACCAGCTGATCAAAACCTTGGTGGATTGATGGTCAAGTGCAGCAGGTCCTTGATTGACATTGTTTCATTCAATGCCATTTTGTTATAATGTCGATGAGACCCTTGGGGACTTCATTCTTGTTTATAACAATCAGCCTATGGTAAATTGTTTCATTATAGTCATTTAGCTTAAAGTCATAGAAGCTATTGGTGACGTGAAGTGAGGACTTTCTATAATTCTTGATTAAACCATCACACAAACATGCCAGGGTCCAGACCTTGTTTTGTTGGAGGAGCTCTTGGCTGTTCCTTGGACGGAGCCCTGACTTCTGCTAGGTGACTTTGGTGTTTCCAGATCCAGCAGCACTGAAGGCGAACTCTGGCTTCTGTGCAGTGAGCTGGAGGGTGGCAGCATCCCCTCCCAGCTTCCTCCCACGTGGCCCATGTCTTCACTGAACACTTTTCTCTCTCTGTTTTAAGAACAGCTTTATGAGATATCATTTCCACACCATAAAATTCATCTGTTTTAAGTGTATATGCAATTCAATATTTTTGTATATTTATCGGTTGTATATATACAACAAATGTAATTTTAGAATATTTCCATCACCCCAAAAAGGAACCTCTTTGCCCATTTGTATTCAGACCCCATTCTTACCCCCAGACCCAGGCTACCACTAATCTACTTTGTGTCTGAACAGGTTTATGTGCTGGTGAAAGAGGGGATGTTTTGCAAACACAGCATTTGCCCTGCATCTGGGGTGGAGCAAACATGGACAAGTTGAGTATTTTTACATGAGCTGATGTTCAGTCCCATATAATAATAAATTTTGTAACTTGACCTAGTTAATGTGCTAAAAGATAGAATTAATTATCTATTGCTTATCATCTTTGAATATATTCTATGAAAGGTAAGAGTCCTTGGCTGACTTGAAGGTCCAGACTTTTGTATTGCTAGAGGATTGTAGAACAGCCTATGAAAAGTAGGATGAGTACCTATTTTTTTGCTTGTTTATCTTTTTTTGTTGTTGTTGTTATTAATCCTCACCCAAGGATATTTTTTCCATTGATTTTTAGATAGAGTAGAAAGGAGGGAGGGAGAGGGAAAGAGGGAGAGAGAGAGAGAGAGAGAGAGAGAGAGAGAGAGAAACATCGATATGAGAGAGACACATCGACTGGGATTAGGCCTACAACTGAGGTACATGCCCTTGACCGGAATTGAACCCACAACCCTTCAGGACAACACTTTATCTACTGAGCCAAACCGGCTAGGGCTGTATTATTTCTTATATGAATGCCCAGTGTTGGCTTTAGTATTATAATGCTACTTAAATACATAAAAGCTTCTATGCAGCTATAAAGCCAAAACAAATTTCCAACTGAATATAATAAAATCTACAAAACCAATAAAATTCAAATTAGTGGCATCAATTTAATGCTGTGAATGATGCTGTGGTGCTGACACTAAATTGCTGCTCACAAAGTAGAGATGATACACCGCCACAGAGCTTGCCTCCCACCTTCGTTTGAAACCGAGATTTCTTTTCTTACAGCTCGAACTTTCTAGGGAGCTGGGGAGCAAATGGGCAGAGGCCTGAGACCCTCTTTAAGGACCCCCAGCTCTGTGTCTTAATAACATGCATCTTGCTGGGACACGGCCCTGACCAGCTTGGTTAGTTAGTTTTCTGCCCTTTGCAAATAGGTGTGTGTGTGTGGGGGGGGTTCTTCTGCAGGCCTAATGAGAGGACCACAGAGAATCTGAGAGCCAGAGAGAGATTGGAAAATTATGAAAAGCAGATACAGAAACTAAATATTTTAGCAAAAGAGGAAAAGGCACAGCGCTTCTGAGAAATCCACAGTGTGACTGCACAGCACAATAAATAATGTTCATGATCATGACCCCGAGCAATGAGTGGAATGTTGAATTAGGCTGAGATTCTCATGTTGAGGAAGACCAGGCAGTCCATCTGGGCCCTTTGGCTTTGCCCTTGAATGAGCAAGCAGACTTCGGTTAGCTCTAGACCTGTGCATTGTGTGTGTGTGTGTGTGTGTGTGTGTGTGTGTGTGTGTGTGTGTGTGCTGGGATGGGGGAGGGAGACTGAATTCTATGACATTCAGAACAAATGACTTCACACATGATTAATTGTGCCCCCCACACGCCCTGCACTCAAGGCTGCGGTAATTGCCCCATTTCAGGATTTGGAGGCGGCACATCTGACCTTCTAGTTTTCATCTCCACACCTCTTCATGCCTCTTCTGACAGATAATTACGGCTGAGTGTGAGCATCAACAGGAAGGCAGATGTCTTACCTTCGTGTCGGGCACTTAATGAGCATTTTAAGGCAAATTATTAATAACAGTGCTCAAGAAAATGAGATCAGCCAAAGCTTCTGAGATATTGACTTACATTGTGACTGTGGAAGAAAAAGGCCATTTCCATGACAAATAGGGGAACTTTTATGAAGTAATTAAATATTCATATATCCAGCAAATATTTATTACATACCCTTAATATTCAAAATATCTTATTGGGAACCACAGGGTACACAAAACCATACATGATTCAGTTTCTAATCTAATGGTGTTTACAACCAGGGAGTTTTTAAAAGATATATTGTTCCAAAGACATGCAGTATAAAGAAGTGTCAAAAATGTAGTTCAGGGGACTCTTCCCCCTCCCCACGTGGGATTCTGTGCTGTGAGATTCTT